AAATTCTCGAAGAAATTATATAGAAATTGTTTGATTATAGTTATTAACATAAAAATGAATAAAAAGAAAAAATATATGATATGATAATAGAAAATTACATTTTATCAAATGTACTTATTAGTAAATAAAAGTATTATACAAACTACAGTGTTATATTTAAACCTGTGGATTTCATATTGAAAATATGAAACCTTATCATGTTAGTTTCATAATGTTAATGTTATTTTTATTCTGTATAACTTTTTAGTAGGGTAGATAACAAATTTATTGTTTATACAACGATATAGTGGTATCCATTAACTTTGAAATATAATATGAAACATAGTAATCGAAATTGCGTAGAAAATCATACTTATATGATTTAATTTAATGTGTTACATATTTTAAATTATAACATTAGAATAAATGAGGAGTAAATTGTTGGAAATGTTATACAATAGGTTATGTTTTAAATTTTTTTAAATAATTTTCGCGAACTCGCATGTATGGGAGAGTCCCAAAATTGTATGTATGTATGCAAAACATATATAATACATTTTTATATGAGATTTCTAAGCTTTGGAATTCAACTTTTATTTTTCAGCAAAATAATTAGATAAGTGATATTAGAATTATTTACATTATTTGACACCATTAATATATTGTTAGAAATGAAATGTATGAAATATGTTTATTTATTGTATAGTTTAAGTAAAAAATCTTAATCTAAAATTTTAATTGTAATTGTAAAGAAATTCAATTCTACAGAAAAATCCCGTTTTTCTTTAGTATCGTTTAAATAGGGTTTCTTTTGTTACTTAATTCCTCGCAAAAACAGCATTTTATATTGTGTTTTATGATTGGTAAACAACTAAAATTTGAAATGTTATTTTTATAATTTTTCGAAAATTAATTTTTTCAATGGTATAAAAGTGTTTTCGATATAATTAATAGGTTTGCTAAAAAAAAAAGACATAATATTGGCAATCGACCATAATGATATTTTGAACTGTGTAATATAATAATATAATGACTGTAATTATTTTGAAAATCATAATGTACAGTAACTTAATACTATTGATATATATATATATATATATATATGATGGATTTCCGTAGTTGTTTAATATATTAAATATACTAAACAAATTGTGTCAGTTGTATTAGCTGCATCGAGGTTCGTATACATATATATTGATCTGTATTTATCTTTCAATAAAATAAAATTGAATCAATAACGTATGAAATATACCCGTATTATTCAACTGTATTCGGTTTTATAAAAATCATCCACGCGTGTTGAACAATAAACTTAATAAAAAAAATACAGTTTTTCTTCTAACATCTATTGAGAAGGAGAGTTAAGACACACACATTATACTCCGTAATTGCTCTACTGCTAACTTCAACAACCTAAGCTAAAACTAAAAATTCATGTCATATTTCAGTACTTATAAATTATAGTCATAACCATTTATTCATAAATTAAAATTATTTTATTAAATAGTTACAATTGATTATCAACTAATAATTACATATATATATGTGTGTGTGTGTGTGTGTGTGTGTTTATTTATGTTTATAAAACATGTGGCCTAAAAAATAGTGCGGCTATTCGTATATAGAATATAACACAAGTTTCGGCGCGGCAAGTGCCTATCTCAACAGTAGGAGGAAATCTTGTTCGTCAGTTTTTTTAATTAGAATGAGTAAAAAATAATAATAAATAAGCAAATCAGTTAAAGGTATAAATGGACTGTATATTTTAAATAAAACTAAAGGTATGAATAATAATAAATAATTGAAATTAATAAATTGCAGTATGCATGAGACTATGAACTCATTTCGATTGCAACTCGTTTGCGCACAATCTAAAATTTTTACCTGAAAAATAGGAACTTGTTTGGGCACACGGTTATATTTAATATATTACTGGTTTGCGCACACGACAATAATTATATTTTATCTCGGTAGACAGATGGCCAAAATCATTTTTATATGCCGGTAATTTTTTGTATTTTGAAGAGTAAGTCAGTTTCAATATATAACACAATGTGGATAACAATTCAGGATCGTTGTGCTCATACGCTTAACCAAGTACTAAATATTAAAGAGTTCCATGTAGATTTTGAGATATCTGCACAAAATGCTTTATTAAATCTTTATCCCTATTGTAAAATTGTAGCTTTTGTTTTTAATTTAGCTCAAAGTTGGTTTCGGCACATTCAAAGTAACAAATTACTTGAGTTTAATAACGAAAACTCCAATATTGGGAATTGGTTTAAAAGTTTTTTTGGTTTGTCGTATTTACCCCCAGAAGAAGTATAAGATACCTTTATACAATTAATATCAGATTGTAAGACGTTAGATTTATCATTTTTCGACTACGTTCTTGAAACATAAATGTTTCCCGAATCAAAATGTAATCCTATGTTATAATCAGGATATTCATAAGACGAATCTCGAACTACGAACGGTGTAGAACCATTCCACAGACATTTTAATCGACAATTCTACATTCTACATCCCACATACATCAGGTAGTAGACGTAATCACATTTACGTAATTACTTAAAATACAATCGGAAACAGTATTAAAAATAACATCAATCAACATAAATATAAATAATTGTCTCCGTAAGGACTCAATAGAATTAGTTGAACATCGCATAAACTTATGGGCAAAATATACATACAATAAAATTATGTAATTTGCTTTCGATGGCAAGGTCCGTCGGCCTTTACACAATAAGAACAGACATGGTCAACCAATACTCACGTGTGATTGCGTTCGATGGTGGATTTAATTACATGCGACCGCACCAGCACTGTGACCTTAACAATTGCCTACGACGGCACATCGCAGTGTATAAAATAAATAAAAACAAAAGTCACAACACTTGGTAAGTGCGACCACCAGAGCACAGTCTCCGACGAAGATGAATTCACGTGTCTGCAGCGAAACATAGCATAATTCAAAACCACGTTACTCACAATGACGGCCGCCGGTAGATGCCTAAAAAACTAATACTATTTAATAATGTGAGACAATAGTTGCTGGAACGATAAATACCACACGGTCAAACGAAAACAGAACCCGAGACAAAGTGGTTTTCATAAGAAATCGACTGCTAACAATGACGAAAATGGATCGTTATGTGCACACCACGGAGATATAAGGACGGCGGAAAATATGGTGCCGACGACATTTACCACGAAGGCTATGGTCGCCGGACACCAAAATGAAGATAACATTTCTTAGTGCCATCGCACTAAAACTGAAACACGAGAAATTAGGAAACTTTGTGGCACTGAGTCAACACGACCTAAACTTTTACTAAAACATAACCAATACATTTTGAAAACGTTTACGTGTGATGATTACAATGCGATTACGTACCCGGCCGGTCGCACACGGAAGCTTATCGCCGTCGCTGACGATGGCTGCGGATACGCAACGCATCGCTCGAAAATGGTACACACTTAATTCAAAGGCGGGAAAACTTGACATTTAAAATTTTAAAACAACAAGAATATACAATTATGTAATAAATATTTTATACAGTTCGCTTTATAATATGTACATGCAATGTACGTGCATCAGGTTTTGTTTGTAATTTGATTGAAAGCTTCAAGTTGTGAAACTGATTGGTAACATTTTTATGTTTTTACCTCTAAAGAAAAAGTTTACCCCTCGAGACATGCTATATGAATATTTTATTACTTTTTAAATAAAAGAAGCTTAAAAAATTTGTTTAATTTTAAATTTTTCCTGTTAAATAAACTTTATAATAATATTATACTGCAACCTCCTCTAAACAGTGCGAATGACATCTAGAAAGTGTATACACAATATGTTTTAACCTAACCTAGTAAACTTATAGTAAAAGTATGTAAAGTAACCTATAGTTACTTCCGTTAAGCATAATGTTTCATACGCTTTAAGTTCATTTTATTCTTGTATATATTTATGTATGAATGTTATTTATACCAATGTATTTAAATGCTTAGGAGGGCATTATTATATACTTAAATTGTTCTTACTACGATAGTGAAATGAGACTGCTATATAATGCCACAGTGGTGTCATCATTGGTTATCTTATGAATTTTAAAATAACGGAAAAGTGTTGTATGTGAACAACAATTTTACAATAAAAAATTAATGAGCGTGAAAATGCATATGTACTGCAGCAGTTACGGATTTAACCGTTATGTTAATTCTCGTATCTTTCGAGGAACGCTACCGTCACCGTATAATTACCGCATACAATATTATATTTACATACATCTAGTTACCCCCGCGCTTATTAGGTTATGTATAATATATTGAAATCAGCGAAAATGCCATTGATTAGTGTTAGGTATTAGCGTGCATTTTAATTGATGTATATATTATACAATTGCATATTCCTAGCTACGTACACAATAATTCAACGCAATCTGTTCATTTTTTAATAGTAATTTTGTTCCCTGTAATTATTCTTTTTATAGTCTTATAGAATGACGGCGTATGTGTAAATAAATGACACTAAATCAAGCTTTTTTGTAGTGAATAGATATAGATACTCACTCGTGGCAAATATTATGAAGTTTGCATATAGGTGTATATAAGTGTATATAGGTGTATATAGTGTATATAGTGTATATAGGTGTATATAAGGTGCATATAAGTGTCTCGTATATGCACTTGACCCGTCTCTCGCGCAGGTCCTTTGATCACACAAAACCATAATTCTTTCGATCTATTTCACATTATTATTAGTATTTTTTCGTTTTTGTTTTTTTTTTCATCTTTTATAACATTTTACCTGGTACGATCGCATTAATATTTTCGGACCCGAGGTTACATTTTTATGCGTTATAAATTATTATACACACACACACACACACACACATACACCTGAAACTCCTAGTTTTTAATATCGCTACGATTACGTCATTTAACATATGTTGGTATAAATAAATAATATAATTCACTGTTTTGTTATTAATTTATAATTTTTCTTTCTACCTTTACAGAATTCCGGTGTGGAGATGACGTGGGTGATAGCGGACTTCACAGCGACAACCGCCGGCCAGGTGTCTGTTACCAAGGGTCAGCAAGTGGAACTCTTAGACTGTTACGGTGGTATAAGTGAAATGGTCCTAGTGCGTGTACCGTCCGACTGTACCGAAGGCATGGTGCCCCATATCGTTCTTAAACAACCACCATCGCTCAAATCACCACTGGCTTCAGGTAAGAACGAAAAAAAAAGCTAATTTCTATTATTGTCATAAGACTCATTCAATACAGTATTTGGATGAACTTAATTCTGGCAATGTAATCAAAAGTATATACACTATAGGTTACGAAAGGAAATAACTTTTTAAAAATTTAAAAATTATTCTGTCATCACCACGATTATGTATTACATGTATGTATATATCATGTGGGAGTTTTGCATTTTTTTAAATTTTTTTTTTATAATATTTTTTAACAATGCGAACGTGTCCTTGAGCTGTATGCCATGTCTAATCAGATGAAAACACTTAAGCGACTCATTTATGCCCGAGGCGGAAATCGTATGTACAATATTTTAATTTAATGAGACTGGTTACTAATTACTGAATATAGCTCACATGATTTATCTATGACAGTTAACATTATTGTTACTACTACTACTTTCCGTTAAACATATAAATGCGTCAAAAAAATCTTGTCAAATATATTCGAATAGAGGAAACGGTTTTGTTAGTTACCGTTTAATAATACATAAATGTATAAAATATTATATTATGTTATTAATTTATTATTATCAATGTCTTTTATAAAATGTAATTCTAACTCGACGTACGCATTCCATTTGTTACATATCAGAAACAACATTTTTTTTTCAATAATAATTATTCTCTATGTGAATTTTTTTACTATCATTAATTTCAACTCGATTTATATAGGTCCTTTTTAATTTATAAAATACGTGCGTGATTGCTCAACACGACTGTGCGCATTACATTGATTAAAGATTTAACGTTAATTCAATAAAATAGTGGATTCTTATTTTAATATATACTTCACGAAATGTATACCAAATTACCACTTCATTCGTTTTTAACCCCCAATCTAATATTGATACATTTATATGCATGTTAAACATTACCGTGTGAAATCATTTTTCTTCTTTCTGTTTAATAATATTAGTAAAGCGTGAAGTTATTTCCAATTAGCAATAGTTAGTGCTACATGGTCACATTTTCGTCCAAAAAAGGAAACAAGCTTAAAAAAATTCTCTATTGCTATTTCGTCCCTATTTCATTAGGTTAGGTTATTATTTTGTTTCTATTATTATTTTCTGGTTGCGACAAAAAATTTGTTTTTCTGAATTCATCGTTATATTATGAAAAATTATTGTTTTTTTTTTTTTTGTCTTTTAATGGATCTCTCCGGCATATCAAAACTGTACTGACAATAGTATAAAAATGTTCACTGTACTGTGTAGAAGTATATAGTATTTTTTATATTCTGACACTGGTTCGTAGTGTTAATTTTGTTTTATTAAATTTTATTGGTATAAAATGGGTTACACCCAAGTGATCAATAAATAAATAATTATAACTATTTCATAAAAAATTAATTTCATTTATTAAAATATTATAATTAGAAAAATAATTTTAAAATTAGTAAAATGTTTTTACATTAAATACCTACGTTATATAAATTTATAAATACTATATTATTATTAGAATATTATTAAATTAAATTGTTCCCACGCTTTAACTTTGACTGAAATGTAAGTATAATCATTATACATACCTTGTATATTCTGCCAAATATGTCATAGTCAATCCTTCAACAATTACAACTGATATCGTTTTAAGCATGTTAGTTGTAACACTGATAGTAAAATTATGAATTTAGTTCAAATTCAAAAAAAAAGTTAATCATAAATTTAGCAGTTGTAAATTGTTTTCAGTAGAACTACGGCTTACAATTATATTCATATGTATTTCAAAGCTGATAAAGTGATAATCAGTATATTTGTAAATAATGTATATATGAATTAAAATTCCATACATTCCAAATATAGCATTATAGAATACTGCTGATAAGAACAGAAATTTTCGTTCGTCGTGTGCTGAATATTGTGTGAATTTGTAGCCTTAATATCAATATCATCAAATGTATTCAATAGTTTACGTTTACGTTGTTAATCGATCAAATAAAAGTCATAAATGTGGTAACTTAACGTGTTTAAATTATAGTTTTAAATATTTTAACCGTAAAAGAGTGAAAACATTCAGACAAAATGATTTTAATGTTAGCCAGTTTTATCGTATAAAAGGTAACTTATTTGAAATAGTTTGATTATCATTGGTTTCTCTTCGATAATACCGTCTGATTTGTTTTCGATTTGAAAAATTTCATATTTTTGCTTTGCAAATATTCTCATAATTTACATTTTTATTTACATTAGATTATTTAATTAATTTAATTGAAGTCGATTATATTTCATAATTTTTAATGATATTAAAAATAAACCAATTATTTAGGCATTTTAAGTCTCCGGTATGAATCTTAAGAAAATGATTTAGTGAAATATTTTATTTTGTTTGCATTTTATTTCGATTTTTTTTTTTTTTTTGTATACAAAAAATTCCATTTTTCAGTTTCGAAATTTCAGTTGGATTCTGCTCCACGTGATGTACATTATGCATATTTAATTTAGATATAATAGAATAAATGCAATGACATTATATATCTATCTATATATCTATTCTTGCCTCTACGCATTTCGACGTCGTGTCATAAAAGTGGCCATACATTATCGGTATTTTGTTGGTGTACATTGTTCGAACAAAACTGTACGTTAATAAATTTTGTTTATACATCGTTTAATCACTATTTACCATAAATGCTTCGATTTACACTGACCGTTTTATTCTTGTACTGAGTTATCCACACATTACGCGAAACAGTCTTTAGTTATTTTATACGTTTTCTACAAGAGTCAACGTTTTTTAAAACTCACTAAACTTTTGAGAGCTAATTATTAAATATGTTTTATTTTTAATATGGTGCCTGTATCACGGTATCATGTGTTCGGCTATAGTAGTTGTAGTAACCATATTACAGATAATTAAAAAGAAGAATTACAAAAAAAGAAAACGGGTGAAAGAGTTGCTTTTAAAAAAATTCTTATATTTTTAAAAGCTGTATGGTCTTATTTCTAGCTCCCAATATGACACACATAATTTTCTCAATTTTTAACACTAAACTGAATCAAATTACTTGATTTTCATTCCATTTCCGTGTACACGGGGCTTTCCTTCGGTTTTAAAGCACACACACACACACACACACACACACACACACACACACACACACAC